AAATCGATGGGTTAAAAAAAGTGGTTGACCAAAAACCGATTCGTTTGTAAAGTCAACCTTTTCTGATGATTTTTTGTAATATCTCGGCCTAATACTGTCCGATTTGGGAATTTTATACCATTTTGGACTCTTAAGGACCCATACTATCGATTGGCATCAAAAAAATAAAAATCTAAATTTTGACCAAAATCAACAAAATGGCAAGGGGTTACATCACGTTTTTTCGCAAATTCGGGGTCGGTTCGAAAATCAAAACTTTTTTGATGATTTTTATTGAATATCTCGGGTAAATACTGTCAGATTTTGAAATGTTATACCTTTTTGAATTCGTAGGGATCCCTACTATCAATCTGCATTCAAACATTTTAAAAATCGATGGGTTAAAAAAAGTGGTTGACCAAAAACCGATTCGTTTGTAAAGTCAACCTTTTCTGATGATTTTTTGTAATATCTCGGCCAAATACTGTCCGATTTGGGAATTTTATACCATTTTGGACTCTTAAGGACCCATACTATCGATTGGCATCAAAAAAATAAAAATCTAAATTTTGACCAAAATCAACAAAATGGCAGGGGTTACATCACGTTTTTTCGGAAATTCGCGGTCGGTTCGAAAATCAAAACTTTTTTGATGATTTTTATTGAATATCTCGGGTAAATACTGTCAGATTTTGAAATGTTATACCTTTTTGAATTCGTAGGGATCCCTACTATCAATCTGCATTCAAACATTTTAAAAATCGATGGGTTAAAAAAAGTGGTTGACCAAAAACCGATTCGTTTGTAAAGTCAACCTTTTCTGATGATTTTTTGTAATATCTCGGCCAAATACTGTCCGATTTGGGAGTTTTATACCATTTTGGACTCGTAAGGATCAGTACTATCGATTGGCATCAAAAAAATAAAATTCTAAATTTTGACCAAAATCAACAAAATGGCAAGGGGTTACATCACGTTTTTTCGCAAATTCGCGGTCGGTTCGAAAATCAAAACTTGTTTGATGATTTTTATTGAATATCTCGGGTAAATACTGTCAGATTTTGAAATGTATATACCTTTTTGAATTCGTAGGGATCCCTACTATCAATCTGCATTCAAACATTTTAAAAATCGATGGGATAAAAAAAGTGGTTGACCAAAAACCGATTCGTTTGTAAAGTCAACCTTTTCTGATGATTTTTTGTAATATCTCGGCCTAATACTGTCCGATTTGGGAGTTTTATACCATTTTGGACTCGTAAGGATCAGTACTATCGATTGGCATCAAAAAAATAAAATTCTAAATTTTGACCAAAATCAACAAAATGGCAAGGGGTTACATCACGTTTTTTCGCAAATTCGCGGTCGGTTCGAAAATCAAAACTTTTTTGATGATTTTTATTGAATATCTCGGGTAAATACTGTCAGATTTTGAAATTATATACCTTTTTGAATTCGTAGGGATCCCTACTATCAATCTGCATTCAAACATTTTAAAAATCGATGGGATAAAAAAAGTGGTTGACCAAAAACCGATTCGTTTGTAAAGTCAACCTTTTCTGATGATTTTTTGTAATATCTCGGCCTAATACTGTCCGATTTGGGAGTTTTATACCATTTTGGACTCGTAAGGATCAGTACTATCGATTGGCATCAAAAAAATAAAATTCTAAATTTTGACCAAAATCAACAAAATGGCAAGGGGTTACATAACGTTTTTTCGCAAATTCGGGGTCGGTTCGAAAATCAAAACTTTTTTGATGATTTTTATTGAATATCTCGGGTAAATACTGTCAGATTTTGAAATGTTATACCTTTTTGAATTCGTAGGGATCCCTACTATCAATCTGCATTCAAACATTTTAAAAATCGATGGGTTAAAAAAAGTGGTTGACCAAAAACCGATTCGTTTGTAAAGTCAACCTTTTCTGATGATTTTTTGTAATATCTCGGCCAAATACTGTCCGATTTGGGAGTTTTATACCATTTTGGACTCGTAAGGATCAGTACTATCGATTGGCATCAAAAAAATAAAATTCTAAATTTTGACCAAAATCAACAAAATGGCAAGGGGTTACATCACGTTTTTTCGCAAATTCGGGGTCGGTTCGAAAATCAAAACTTTTTTGATGATTTTTATTGAATATCTCGGGTAAATACTAGTCCAATTTTGAAATGTTATCCGTTTTTGAATTCGTAGGGATCCCTACTATCAATCTGCATTCAAACATTTTAAAAATCGATGGGTTAAAAAAAGTGGTTGACCAAAAACCGATTCGTTTGTAAAGTCAACCTTTTCTGATGATTTTTTGTAATATCTCGGCCAAATACTGTCCGATTTGGGAGTTTTATACCATTTTGGACTCGTAAGGATCAGTACTATCGATTGGCATCAAAAAAATAAAAATCTAAATTTTGACCAAAATCAACAAAATGGCAAGGGGTTACATCACGTTTTTTCGCAAATTCGCGGTCGGTTCGAAAATCAAAACTTTTTTGATGATTTTTATTGAATATCTCGGGTAAATACTGTCAGATTTTGAAATGTTATACCTTTTTGAATTCGTCAGGGACTCCCTACTATCAATCTGCATTCAAACATTTTAAAAATGGCGATATGTTGTCTAAAAAAAGTGGTTGTACCAAAAACCGATTCTGTTATGTAAAGTCGGACACCTTTTCTGATGATTTTTTGTAATATCTCGGCCTAATACTGTCCGATTTGGGAATTTTATACCATTATGGACTCGTAAGGATCAGTACTATCGATTGGCATCAAAAAAATAAAAATCTAAATTTTCACCAAAATCAACAAAATGGCAAGGGGTTACATAAAAACTTTTTTGATGATTTTTATTGAATATCTCGGGTAAATACTGTCAAATTTTGAAATGTTATACCTTTTTGAATTCGTAGGGATCTCTAAAATAAAAATCTAAATTTTGACCAAAATCAACAAAATGGCAAGGGGTTACATAAAAACTTTTTTGATGATTTTTATTGAATATCTCGGGTAAATACTGTCAAATTTTGAAATGTTATACCTTTTTGAATTCGTAGGGATCTCTAAAATAAAAATCTAAATTTTGACCAAAATCAACAAAATGGCAAGGGGTTACATCACGTTTTTTCGGAAATTCGCGGTCGGTTCGAAAATCAAAACTTATTTGATGATTTTTATTGAATATCTCGGGTAAATACTGTCAGATTTTGAAATGTTATACCTTTTTTGAATTCGTAGGGATCCCTACTATCAATCTGCATTCAAACATTTTAAAAATCGATGGGTTAAAAAAAGTGGTTGACCAAAAACCGATTCGTTTGTAAAGTCAACCTTTTCTGATGATTTTTTCTAATATCTCGGCCAAATACTGTCCGATTTGGGAATTTTATACCATATTGCACTCGCAAGGATCAGTACTATCGATTGGCATTAAAAAATACACAATACAAAAGTTTAGCAAGAAACGTGATAACCACTGCATTTTTTGATTAATTTGGGTCAAGTATTACAATGCGGATTAAATTAAACTATATATAGTTCCTGGATCGGGTTAAATTTATTTGATATTAAGTTTACGCTTGCAAGCTCCGATGAGTCCTGACTCCAACAAATCGAATGGTCCACGGTTATCCTGGCAGTTTACGAGACATCAAGGAGATTTTACATCTCACCCATACATATGCCGATGCTTGGTTGCAATTAATATTTAAAATTTAACGGTCGCCAAATTCCATTCGGCATGTCGACTGTGTCGCAAAATTTTAACAAAATTAATCTGAACTACCAGGCGAACATCAATGCCAGCAGGTAGCCAAATGTCGGAGACAGCACAATTAAAACAGATTGTGCGCCGGCGCGCCATTGGTCGATCGAAAATGCATGATGGCTGCTCGGCGAAATAACTGTAACTATCCTTTTGTTTTGGTTCCTAAGCACATTCGTCAATACATATCGACCGTTAGCATTGTTGTTGTCGCAAAACTGTATAAAAGAAGCATTGCCTAATAGGGATGCCCATACACGCTAGTGATGCTGTGGATTTAGCTAAATAATGCCGTATCCGCTAAAACTAGCGATTTATTTTTAAGTATGCCTACAAACTAAGTAACTTGAGTCCGATCTTGGCCCGATGATTTTCTTGGGCTTGTGAGAGTATTTAGATTTATAAAAATAAATAGCTAGCTTTTGCGGATATTGCATTATTCAGCCAAATCCGACGCATCACTTCCGTATCTAGGCATCACTATTAGTCAATGATTCTCCTATATGTATTGACGAATGTGCATAGGAACCAAAACAAAAGTTATTGCGCCGAGCAGCCATCATGCATTTTCGCTTGGCATTATACATATATATGACCAATGGCACAATCTGTGTTAATTCCGGTGTCTCCGACTTTTGGCTACCTGCTGGCATTGCTGTTCGCCTGTTACTTCAGCTGAATTTTGTTGAAATTTTGCGACACAGCCGACATGCCGAATGGATTTTAGCGACCGTTAAATTTTAAATATTAATTGCAACCAAGCATCCGCATATGTATGGGTGAGATGAAAAATCTCCTTGATGTCTCGTAAACTGCCAGGACAACCGTGGATCATTCGATTTGTTGGACACAGGACGGAGTTTGCAAGCGGATGGCATCGATGATATAGCTGTTTTGTTAAGAAGGACATAATTTCAATCTCTATTTTGATTTAATTGCATTTATAAAAATGCATATTTAAATATATACCAATGGCAATCGATAGTCGAGATCCTCACGAGTTGAAAGAGATATGTATATCACTCTAAAATCGGACTGTATTTACCCAAGATAAATATGTGCATACATATTTCAAATCGAAATTGTTTCGAAAACTTTAAATGGCTATATCTCGACCAAATAAAGCTCGATCCCGGGCAGAACTCGTGAAAGTCCATTCAAAGTTTGAATATCTTGGTTATATTATGACATTTATTTGTTTTTCGACTTGTGCGGATCAGGACTTTAGCTTTAATGGGGAAAACACAAATTGCATTTAATTTATTTGATGTATTTTTATTCATTTCCGTTTCGGGATAATTTCTAGTTTGTTCTCTTTCGTTTTTAGTACTAGTTGTGGTTTTAGCAATTGTTGAAATTACTATAAATTATATAATCATTATATTTTTATGTATTTATATATATATATTTTAAAAATTCGCATATGAAATAAAGTCGAAAGTCATTTAAACCCTATTGTTAAACCTGCCACGAGCCAACCTTTTGGTCAACACTCAGCGTTCCGTCCTATTATCAGATTGATATTCTCTTCACTTCTCACTAATCTTAAGCTAAATCAAAAACAAATCAATACAAATTATTATTGCATAAAGGAAAAATAAAACGTCAAACAAAATGTAATAATTAAAAACAAAATTAAAGCTGGAATCGCGGCTTCTACTTTATAAATATAATAATAATAAAACTAATAAAATTAATAATAATAATAATAGGTATAAGGTATAAATAGAAAGTATGTATATATGAAAGTGTGCTTAGGTTAGGCATTGCATCATCAACTGTACAGTATGGCTTATATGCGTATCATATATATATATATATTTTATTTATAATTTATTAGAGGGGGAGGCTCCACTTAAGTATGTGTGTTTCGTACGATGTTGATTATGTTTATATTTATGCGGGGCTAGAACAGCTTTTCTTTAGTTATTTTTATTATTATTATTATTATTATGGGTATGCGTATGTTTATATAATTTAACAAAAAAATGACTGGCTGTGTGTGGAAGAAGAAGAAGTCAAGCAGCTTTATCTTGCCAATTAAATTTTCTTTCTTTTTTTTTTTCAAAGCAGCTCTTGAATTTTGGTTTCTATTTTTTTTCTCAGCTGTTTGTAAGCGTTCCGCCTACATATTTACATACTCGATAAGATATTGGTATGATTGGGTATACATATATATGTGGCTCAGGATTGCGAGCTTTATAAATTGTTTACAAAGCAATTGCAGTGCACACACACATACTCACACACACACACGACACACACACACATACACATACACACACACACATAGAGCTAGACATATCTTAAGTCAGTTTTTTAAAAGCGCTTTGCTGTGTACACAATACTTGGCTACAATGTTTAAATATCGTATATTATGTATTTATACATATAGAGTATGTAAATGTAATGCATGTTGACATCTAGAATTGAGTGTTTCGAATAAAAGAAGCCTTTGGTTCTTTCTTTTTTATCTTTCACAACAAAAAAAATTTTGCGACAAATGAAAATAAAGAACTGAATCAAAGCTCGCCGAATTAAGCATTAATTAATTGTTAATTTGTATATAATTTTTATAAAAGTACAAAAAGTCTGTCTATTACGCACTCGAACATGAATCGGCATCGAAATTAACCGATTTATATACATACTCTCTCTCTCTCTATCTCGCTATTTTTTTTCCATTTGTCTTGCGAAGCATATAAAACTGAGAAAACAATTTGGTCAACGCGCTATGCCATGTTTAGATACGTATATACTATATCATATCAAGTTGTATTTAAGTTTGTATTTAGTTATATTACGAGTAATATATTAAATTGATGACCTATAGATGATGAGTTTGGATAGCGGGGCCCATTTACGTGCCGTTGGCCTTTGGCAGCGACCGCACCAGATACAGTTTCTCGCCCTGCTTGTTCGTATAGATGGGCGCTCTTTGGTAGTGTTCGACCAGCTGGTCCAGTGAATGGAACTTTCGCTGTCCAATGCAGTACATATTCTGCTCCACGTGGACACGGAAGTGCTTGTTGCGGCCGGGCGCCTTCAGGGAAACCGAGTAATCACCCATCTGAAAGATAAATAGCATAATGAGTAAGCTGGTTACTTGTGGATGGGGTTTATATAAAGAAGGGCAATTCCAAAATATACATACTCGAGACAATATGTGACGATAGTTTTAAGACTGAGATTAGTTAGATAAGCTCGCTTGGAAACAGACAGATTATATGAATACATATTTGAAATTTCTAGAGCTCGAGTGCCCAAATTTTGAGTACAGTCTATTTGGTGGGCTCCTCAAAGGAGTCCATCCGAATGCAACAAAACTTACTTATACTTTTAGTCTAGTACAATTTTCATGCCTCACTTTAGATAATAATTTCCATATTGGAAAATAATTTGATGCTATTTCTTCGATACGATTTACAAATATGAGTCGTCTTTGGCTAACCCGGGAATTGCCCCAAAGAATCTGCAGCGGGCACTCACATTAGTCTCACTGTCTCTGATGAGGAAATCACCATCGTGTCCATGGCCATTGAGGACCGTGTCGCATTGGCTGCGTGTGATGGCGCCATAGTACCAGGATTTGCCCGCCAAATTGGGTCGCTCGATGGGCTGACTTGGCTGCGTTTGTTTGTTATTGCAGTCATTGCGGCGCTCCATGGAGTCGCCTCCGCCGCCGCCGCCGCCGGCACCGTTGCCGGTGGCATTGGCGCCATTGCTGCCGGTGGCATTGCCATTGCCAGCATTGCCGCTGGTATTGCGATAGGGTGTGGCCAAGTAGTCGTTCAACTCTTGTAGATAATTGCGTGGAACTAAACCGACTTGACCCTGATTATTGCGTGCCTTATACCAGTCCGGATCGGAGGCGGGCCTGTCAACTATCTCGAGGCGATCGCCCTTCTCAAACGACAGCTCCTGGTCATTGTTCGACGTGAAGCTATAGAGCGCCACCTGCAAGCGAATTGGAAGTATAGTTTAAGAAAGGATTTACATTTATTTAAGTTAGCTTCTAGAGACCCACCACAATGTCGAGCACATTCTCCGCCATGGCATAGGTGTGTATCTCGCCATCGTTATCACAATCTTCGGTTGTGTAATTGCTGGGAAACCAGCCAACCGAATTGCCGCTCTGGCCACGCCACCAGCCATCGTTCGATTTCTCCAGTATGAGTATGCGTGTGCCCTTGGTCAGGGAGAGCTCGTCCGGCTGTTGCGCCTGATAGTTGTATTTAACAATGGCGGTGCCAATGGCCTCGGCCGGATCGGGTGGCAAGCGCCGGGACATGGTTGGACTCTCGATTTGGCGTGAAGGCGAACAATTGGGCAGAGTCTTCGAGCCGGAACCCTTTTTCACCTTCTTCTTGATGCTACAAGAGAGACACGAGAGAAGGAGCATAAATATAGATAACAAATAATTCCACTATTTAAATATATTTTTACTGAATGTAACAACGGGGTTTCTTTTTTTTTTTTTGGGTGTAAGAGATTCTTGCTAGCCCTACTTTCTTGGGCTTGCAGTGGAGGGGCAACCAGAGTGGGGCTTCAATTTGTGTGTGGTTGTGGTGCGTGCGGGGTTTTGTGGGGGAGGGACAAATATTAAAGGCTTTCTACTCGAAATGAATATTAAAAAACAACTAAAGCATTAAACGAATTTGTTTATACAATACAAAAGCCGAAAAGCAGTCGAAAAGAAACTAATTACAAGAAGAAAGCAAAAATTTTGGAGTAGAAAACAAACTCGACATATTTTTCTTTTTTTTTTTTGGTATCTTTTTTCTGCTGAAATCAGAATAAAAAGAATACTTAAATTTTAGTGAGTTCTCATAGCTATATACACTTTTCTTTTTGTTTGAGGTTTACTCGTTGGATGGGCTGAATGGAATTGCTCTGCAACCGGAAACCGGGGGCAACACGCACCTGTCGAAGAGCGAGGGCTTCTCCTTCTTCACATAGTTGCTGGGCACATAGCCGGATTGATTGCGACTGTTCTGGACGCGCCACCAATGCTTGGAATCATCCAGCAGCAAATAGCGCTCGTTCTTCCGCAAATCCAACTCCTGAGCCCCCTGGGCTGCATAATCGTATTTGGCTACCACGTAGCAAACGTCTTCCTGAGATTTGCCTGTTAGAAAGAAATGCAGTTTAGTCAAAATTCCAATTGATAATATTCATGTATTTGTACATGGGCAATTCCAGAAAATAGCTGAACATAAAACTAGAAACAACTTTTTTTTGTTGCTTTCATTTTACTCTTATTTGAACTTATTTATAATCCAATTTTAATGGAAAAACCAGTAAAGAAAAATTGTCTCCCAAATTAAATTAATTTCCAAACAAGTTTCTGCCAATTTCCCCAAAACTTTACCTATAAAAACAATAAATCATTACTTTTGAAAATACTAAATAATTTATGGCTTGAAGAACAAACTAAGGTACTACAACGATATAATAACAAATTGAATGAAAGATTTCCCCAGATTTTATTGAAATAAATTCCATTAGGAAACTTGGAAGACTAAGCGAAGACTTTGTTTTTTTATAGGTTCAAGCGAAAACCATTTTGATTCACATAAAAAAGCTCAGATATAGAATGATGTAAGTAAAATCTTGAATAAGTTATAAAGAAAAACAATTTATCAGGTTTAATAGTATTTACTCATAATTTTATATCAGTATAAATTGATATTACAAAAACCATTTCAGATATGCCACACAATTTTATTTGCCCATTTCCTAGAAACAGCTCCCACCACAAAACCCACTTCATTAAATTTTAATTATGATAATGAAAAATACGCTGAATCCAGTTACATTTATGGTAGCATATTTATATGTTAGACGATAGAAGAGAGCGGATATAAATATCTCTTGTATCTTCTTTGTCTATCATATATTCTGTTCTTTGTCTTATATTCTTTTCCTTTCTCTTATCTTCTCTTCTATCTGCTTTTCTCTTATCTTCTCTTCTATCTGCTTTTCTCTTATCTTCTATCTGCTTTTCTATTCTCTTCTATCTGCTTTTCTCTGCCCTTCAATCTTCTCTTCTCGCCTTTTCTATCATCCCATCCCATCTCTTTTCTTTTCTTTTATTTTATTTTCTTCTCTTCTTTTCTCTACTCTACTCTACTATACTCTTCCCTTCTATATTCTCTTCTCTTTTATCTTTTATCTTCTATCCTCTATCTTCTATTTTCTATTTTCTATTTTCTATTTTCTATCTTCTATCTTCTATCTTCTATCTTCTACCTTCTACCTTCTACCTTCAATCTTATATCTTCTATCTTCTATCTTCTACCTTCTATCTGCTACCTTCTAACTTTTTTCTTTTAACTTCTATCTTCTATCTTCTCTGCTCTTCTGACTTCTCTTCTCTTCTCTTACGCACAATCGATATTTATGGTTGCATATATTGAACTAATAGATCCACTCCTTAGTGAAAGCTTTGCCTTCCAAAAAGAGAACAAGTTACCAGAACTCTTCTTTATCTTTGCCTTATATCAAGCGCGAGCTGCCGGAATTGCCCATATTTAGAGTATTATGTGCATAACTCACCGTGCTTCATGTTGCCCGCCATTGATTGTTGTCCAGCGTTGCCAGTTCCGGCGCTGCAACTGGAGTTACCGCTGCTGCTGCCGCCGTTGCTGTAGTCGATCGGCGCCGGGCAGCCGCTGCTCGCTGGCTGGCCAAAGGTCACACTTTTGTGCTGGGCACTGCAGCTGGAGGCTGTCGACAGTGTGCGATGATGCTGCAGCGATTGCTGCTGTTGCAGTTGCTGCAGTTGTTGCTGCTGCTGCTGCTGCTGCTGCTGATGGTGGTGGGAGAGCGAAGAGTGTCGCTGATGATGAGCGGGCGAGCCAGGTGCCAATTGACGACAGCTCTGATAGTTCTGGTGCTGCGGCAGCTGTGGCGGATACTGCGGCGAGCTATTCGCGTTGCCAGAGGAGGAGTTGGGGATGTTGCGCGCGAATCGCTGTGGGTATTCCAACATTCCAGTGTGGGCTCCTCAAAGGCTTGAGAAGCGCGAATGGGGCACAAAATTCCTTTTGATGTGCTCCCAAATGCTGCGTCGAAGATACAAATTGTGGCAAAATGTGGAAACAACAACAACAAATAAGTGTTGGCAACAGCAGAAGTTGCAGCAAAAGCAACAACAATTCGCGGTTGTTGTTGTTGTTGATGAAGATGAAGATGATTATGTTGCTGTTGTTATGATAATGATGTTGATGAAGATGTTGTAGTTGTAGTTGTTGCTGTTTTTATGGTGAGTAGTTGTTGTTGTTGTTGTTCGTGTTACGCTGTGTGTTGCTGTTGCTGTTGTTGTTGTTGGTGCTGTTGCTGCATGTTGCCCGCTTCCTCAGCCAACGCATATTTCTGCTGCTGTTGTTGTTGTTGTTGTTGTGATAATTGTTGTTGTTGTTGTTTGGCAGCAAATTAAACGTTACGAATGCGGCGAATGCAAAACAAAGATGTGAAAGAGAAAACGTAAAAGGAAGAAGAAGAAACAATGTAAACAAGATGAAATTAAAGCTGTGTGTGTTTAGCTTAATACGTGTCTGTGTGTGTGTGTGTGTATGTGTGTCTGGCTGTGTGTGTGTGTTACTCAAAAAAGCATTTGCGTGAAAGCATTTATAACTAGTGCTTAAATACTTAAAAATATAGATATACATACACACATATCTATATATACATATATATTTGGCAAAAAAAAGCAAAAAACAAATTTAAGCACAAATATATAAAAGGAATTAAAAACGGGCCTTCGAGCTAGGATATGACAGAGATCTGATGAAAGTGTGTGTGTGTGTGTTAGGGATGATAATGCTGATGATGATGATGATGGCAATGATCATTATGCTGATGGACATATTTACTTGGAGGCAGACAACTGCTGGCCACAAATGTGGCCAAGCGAGAAATGGACGCCAAGTGAAAGTTGCCCCCACTCAAATGGGGCAGCAACACTCAGATTTGAAACTCGTAATTGAATTCAATTCAATAAAATAAAAAACATGCGAAAAAAAACACAGAACATTTAACAGCGGCAAGCCGAAGTCAAGATACCCTTACAGACATATAGTTATGCGAGCTGAAGCTCGCAATTGCAGACTTCATAAAAGATAAGAGCTATGCGATATAGCAATCAGATGTTGTTGAAATTTTTGTTTATGTGAGAGTAACAACGTGGAGCTCGTAAATGCTAAGTTTGGTTAAGATAACTTGGAAAACAAAAAAGTTGTTAAGGAACGAGTTTTCGACCGATTGTTCCTATGATATAGTAAACCAACCCGGCTCATTTCGATTTGTGGACTATCTGTAGGAAGTAAATTTTCTTTCGATAGCTTAATTGAGAGCTTAGTTCACATTGGGTCAAAAGAGACACAAAATCGATTGAGCTCAACCGATTCTTCCTATGGAAACTTTATGATAGAGTAATTCCACCCTTTCCATTTCGATTTGTTCACTTTCTGTAGCCAAAAGAAGCAGCTGTACGAAGTTTTGTATAGATAGCTTGATTGAGAGCTTAGTTCACATAGGTCAAAAAAGACACAAGATTCTTCCTATGACAGCTATATCATTTAATTATCAGACATGGTCCGTTTCGATTTATGTACTATCTAGCCAAAGGAGGCAACTGCACCAAGTTTTATCACATGGGTCAAAAGAGACACACACAACTATATCGACTGGCTCAAGCGATTCTTTCTATGGAAACTTTATGATATAGTAATCCCACCAAAGTCAAAAGAAGCAGCTGTACCAAGTTTTAGCCAGATAACTTCACGGAGAGCTTAGTTCACATGGGTCAAAAGAGACAAAGATCGATTGAGATCAACAGATTGTTCCTATGGCAGCTATAGACAATAAGTATATTAATCCCATCCGGCCCATTTCGTTTTGTGCACTATCTGTATCCAAAAGAAGAAGCTGTACTAAGTTTTATTTTTTTAACTTTACTGAGAGCTGGTTCACATGGGTCAAAAGAGACACACACAGCTGTATCGACTGGCTCAAGCGATTCCTTCTGTGGAAGGATATGATATAGTTATGATATAGTAATCCCACCCGGCCCATTTCGATTTGAGCACTTTCTGTAGTCAAAAGAAGCAGCTGTACCAAGTTTTAGCCAGATAACTTCACGGAGAGCTTAGTTCACCAGGGTCAACACACAGTTATGTCATCTAAGCTTAACATTCTGATCAGGTATAATATATGCCACATGGGTTGGGAGTTGCCTGCTTGACTGCAACTCACAAATTTCGTGACAAAAGGCAAACAACCCCTTGAGGCTAGCGTATAAAAACGAGGAACCACTTGATTTTAATTGATGAATTTTCAATTGATTTGGCAACGCGGCTCGCGGGGAGTCGCCTCACAGTACGTGCAACAGCATCCACACAGCAGCAATAACCGGAGAAGAAGAAGAAAAAAACCCGCTATGAAACGCGGCCGAGATTGCGTCTGGCGCTGGGACTGGCCCAAACGAGCAAACGACCAAAACGCTCAATGAGTCACGAACAGGTATTGGAAATGGAATTGGAATTGAAATTGGATTGGGTTGACTCGTACTTAACACAAAGACAAACCAACTAACAATATTTTCTGGACAAGTAGCTCAGCGAGGGGGAGAAAAAAAAAGAATAATAAGCGTGTGAATAATAAACGTGAAGTTTGAATACCCTTTAAAATTAAATATTTCTATTCTTTGCTTTAACTTTGTTCAAGTAAATAACTCTTTGGACAAGTAGCACAACGAGGAGCGAAAAAAAATAATGAACGGGTCGCTGAAGTTTGAATACCCTTTAAAATGAAATATATTTCTATACTTTGTTTAAAAGAATATTGTTTTGTTTTATAAATTTACTGATAGATCGTATGGGAGCTATATGATATGCCAGAGCTATGTTGGAGTAAAGAGATTTTAAAAGCAAAATAGATTTAAGACATTTTAAGTTAGTTTTTAACCTATTGCTCCCTCAGCTTTTATATATATATATATATATATATATATGATATAGTACATCGATTCTTTTGAGTCTTTAAATTAGTACTGCCTGCAGCCAACAGACTATTATTTCTGAACAACTAAAACCCCCTTCCATGCGTTACATACTTGATGAGAAAATGTTCATGCCCTGCGCGAGCGCAAAAATGCAGAGCAAAAATAATTCTATGAGACAGACGTGTAGCATTTGCTGTTTACGCAATGCCCAGCAGGTAAATGGTAAATGGCAAAGAGATAATCGACAGTTTACATTATGAAGCCAACTTTGCGAGGTTGTTGGCCAAAGCCAAAGCGTAACCAAAGTCAATGTCAACAGCCGTAGGCCATACAACATTTGCTAAGATCAATAATTATGCGACCCAAAAAGGTATTGAACATTTTTAGATTTTCAGTCGGCTTTTTGTGGCTTCACTTTTGTGACTCGACAGGGTTGAAGGCCAAGTTCGCAAGTTCTGCAAGCTTGATTAGCGTGTTTCGACCAACACCTTCGCCAAAAGCAAAAGATTTGCTGTCATCAGCGATAAGTTTTGTGTTTTTTTTTCCGAAATAGAAAGAAAATGTGTACGGTGTGTGAAGGCGAAAGCATTTTTTGTTTTTTTGTTTGACACAATGTGATTTTATCTTCCGTATCGCTGTCAGCATTTCCGTCTATTTTGGGGTTTTTCGTTTCGGTTTTCGCTTAGTGTCTGGCCTCGAGAGAAAGCTGAGCGCAACGAAAGAACCACTTAATAGATTATATTCATATTTGCGCAAGACTCGTTTTCTCATGTTCATTGTACAGTTGATGATAGCTGCCATGGGGATAAATATATCAGGGACAGTAGAGAAGACATGAGCAAAAAACCATAAGTGCAGACATTTCGTGTTTATGCTGGAGACCAAGAAATTGGAAATGATAACCCAAAAGTTACAGGGGCATACAAACAAGGCGGCATTACTATCTTTATAATCGCACTGTAAATATTTACCAGGCTGATAAAGTGCCTGGCAAGTGCTGAGATGTCTAATCGCATTGTTGTACAAATAATGTGCCTGACTATCGCTGTGCGGTCAATTCGCATTAATAAAAAATATTTACAATGCAGATTAAGTGCCTTGCAAATGTGACCAGTTAGCTGCAGTTAACATTTTGCTATACTAAAGAACTTTAAAATAAACAATAAGCTGGAACTTATATAAAGTGGATGTGTAATATAAATCGCTTAAAAAAAAATATTTACATTGCAGACGAAGTGCCTTGCAAATGTAAGCAGTTACATGGAGTTAACATTTAGTTTAGTAAACAGCTTCAAAATAATCAATAAGCGGAAGTTTATGTAAAATTTATGTACAATTCAGTTCGCATTCAAAAAATATATACAATGCAGATGAAGTGCCTTGCAAATGGTAACAGTTACATGTAGTTTAGTAAACAACTGTAAAATACACAATAAGCTGCAGCCTATGTAAGATTAATGTACAATCTACAATGCAAATGAAGTACCTTGCAAATGTTACAAGTTAGCTGCAGTTAACATTTTACTATACTAAACAACTTTTAAATAAATAAATAGGCTGCAGCTTATATAAAATTGATGCACAATTTACATTTTACACAGAAAAACGTGACTTCGTGTAGCGCTTCACCAGCTGGCGCTGCGCAACTCTGGCACAAGGCCACCAACAGAGCTAAAACATTGAAATGCTTGGATGGCTACTGCTTATGGCCATTGAACTGGGCTGAGTCTAGTTGCTACTTCGATCTATATTGTCGCATTTGTTGTATGTTTTGTTTGAGTCAAGACATTGCCAAGGTAGTGCCTTTGTCTTGTTTCGGAGACAGTTCGTCAAAGAGAAAATTGAAAGAGTTGCACGTGCTCGACGGGTTTATGAGGCGGAAAGTTGTTTCACGGATAGGAAATGCTCGTTCCATTCAACGGATGGGCAACGCAACAACCATATCAAGAAATACACGAAAAAGTGGCCCTTAAAATTATTGAAACTAATTGAAAACAAAGTAAACAATTCTCTATTATTTCAGATCTTCATAGAGTTGGGGCGAATATACTCTTAAATCACAGAAAATGGTGCAACGAAATGCACTAAAAACAACAAGAAAATTGAGTGAGTCGAGGGTGCGGCGTTATCGTAGCCAAAGGGCAGCCACAGGCAGCTTGCGTGGAAAGCTATAAACATATATTTCTATAAATGAATGTGCATCTATTATGTGGACATAAGCATCGGAATCAGTGCTGGCATTCTAGCTGCTAAAAGATGGCTAGATCAAGCAATGAGAAGGAACAAGTAGCTAGAAAATTAAAAAAAAAATGTAAATAGCTCAACTTATAATTTTTATATTTTCATCTAAAAATATTGACATTTTACTTTTAACTAAGCCATTAAAAAGTTAAATTGCTGAAAAAGGTTTAACAAGTTTAGCCCGTCAAAAATCTGAGTGAAAGCTCCTCGGAGCTTTGTGCCTCAAAAAGATTGTCGATTTTTTTTTGCGTAATTTTCGTATACTTTTTTCTGCCACAAAAGTGGTTTACTTAACACCGCTTTTTGCACGAAAAAAAAAATAATAATAATAATAAAAAAAGCTAACTCAAAAGTAAGATATGAAATGGCATTAATTAAATTAGCCGGCTTAAGGAGATATCCGCCGAAGAAAGCTAAAAATGTTTAGCTTTTTTTCTGGCAACTTTAACGTGTCAATATAGCTATATCCACGACCAAAGTCTGGCAGCACTGATAGAAAAGAATAACGGAACTGAATTCAGTGCATTCGAGTTGATTTAGTTATTTTGCGCAGCTGTTGTTGTTGTTGCCGCCAGAGTTTGAATTTAGAATGGATGCTGAAGAGAAACCTGTGACATGTGTATTTTGGGTCGTGGGTTGAACTGCGCCCCGAAGTGAACTGCGCATCCGAAGTTCGGGCGGTGGTTGTTTGAACGCACAGGGGGTTGAGCGGGTGGCGAGAACAGATTGCTGACACACATATATAGCCGCGGGCGGTGTGCATGGCGACGACCATGGTTACCAAAAACTGCAAAAGATGGTACAATGCGAGCCAAGGCGGAAGGAAAACACGAGCAGGCGTTGCATAAAAAGGATTGCGCTCGAAGAGAAAAATGTTAGGTCGAATGGGGGTTGCTTTTGCGCACGCAGTCGGAGTAAGCGAGAGAGAGTAACTGAGAAAGTGCAGAGAGAGCGCAGCGCAGCAGATACGCAATTTTTTGCTTCCTTCTCAGACACCTTCATATGTGTGTTATCCTGGGAAAAGTACCGTATTGGTCGGTGGTGTGGAGCAATCGAAACGGCGCTGTTAATCGATAAATATGTAAATGGGGAGAACAGTTTAACCAAACATAACAAATACGAGCGAGTTCTGAGAGAGAGCAAGAAAGAGAGAGAGTGATTGAGCACGGAGCACGGAGCACGGAGCACACGAGTAAGTATGAGCGAGACACAAAACAGGAGCTAAACAGGAGCAGCCGTATATTTTGTGTGTACCTACCGGAGACGACGAAAGTTTTTGGCGACGACGACGACGACGGCGATGACGACGGCAACTCCTAGCAGCAGCCAACGGCCCCAGCCCTTTGTGCAGCAGCAGAAGCGACCATATAAAAATGCACTTTCTTCACTCAACTGCGAATAATATTCAAATGTTTTTCAGGCGCCTGCCAAACAGTATTTTTTCACTTAACATACGTTCACTCGACTAATAATAATAATATTACATTAAATGTACATTATGTGTACATCTGTTCGTCTGTATGTGTATATATATAATAGCTGGCCAGTTGAAAATCACGTTTTCGCTTGTATTTGACACTTTTCGTTTGTTGTTAATGACGCAACCGCACTACGTTACATTCAATGTATGCTATTCAATAATTTCTAAGAATTATTTCGCGTTTGATTAATAATTTTTAACCAATTTTACCGGAGCCACTTCTTCGTCGCTCTCTACAATTTCGATATTATGTGTCGCCCACATCGATATTTTTACTCTCACGAATCGAGTACTTATTGTGAACAGCTGTGGCATCGATAGGCAAGCTCGTGCTTGCGATTTCTTATCGCATCATCGCGATATTTATCGAATTAACTAACAATAATATATAGAGAACAAAAAGAAACAAGATTTGTTTGCTTTAAAAAACTATGGGTGAGAGAAAATCTGGAAGCGTGTGGCGTGTCGGTTACGCTTCCGATATGCCGGAAGCAGGCCAAGTAGAACCGGGTGACGAAGCGGCCGCCGCTCTCCGTCGCAAACAGCGCTCGGGTTACAGGGCGTCGGTTAAGTACCTGCGGGGACTTGACGCCCGTAAGCCTGAATCGCTGACCGCGAGGGAGTTGCATTTGAAAAAAAAGCACGTGTACAACGTGCGGCGATATGAGCGGCTCACCAGGGCTGACCCCACACAAAGTACGAACGCTCAAACGCCTGGGCCGAAGCAGACAGCTCAGCCAGGCGAAACGGCACCAATGGAACCTCCCAAGCCGAAAGCAGCTCCAACGTCGACTACACTGCCCAAAAGGGAGAGAACAGACGGCGTAAGCGGCGGTAGGCAAAGGCTTGATGACAAAGCAAAGACCACGGATGCCAATTGCCGGTACGCGGAAGATATTCTGGCCGGCCTTGGCTCCAATCCGGAGCTCCAAGTGATAATTATTGATCGAAACGACCCGGAAGGGAAGATTTCAACCAATAACTGGCTCATTTTGGAAAAAGTTATCATGCAGGCCCAGCATGATGCCATGTCCCGCAGCGAGAACCCGTTTATCGCGGAGTTCAATGGCATCAAGTGGTATAAGGGCGCCAAAGCCGTGGCCTGTGCCAACGAGGCAACCGTCAGTTTCCTCAGGGACACTATCCAGGGCGTTCGCGAACTTTGGTTAGGGGCGAAAATCGATGTTGTCGCTAGAAGCGAGCTGCCCATGCGTACGACCATTAAGGTGTGGGTTCCTCCTCCAGTTTTAGTGAACCAGCTGGTACTGGACATGATAAAACGGCAGAATCTGGACTGTGACACTGACGACTGGACGATCATAAGGGGACAGGCTCGCGATGATGGAAACGGCACAGATCTCTGGCTCAGCATTGGTCTGGTGTCTAAAAGCCAACTCCTCAAGAAGCGGTGCCAACTAAAGCTGGGAATGGGCTGCCTGCGGGCAATCCTTTGCAGTAATGATGCTGGGCTTACAGATAGATGTTGAGCAGAAAATGAAGCGCTAAATAACTTTTTATCAGTTATAGGATTAAGTTATAGAATACAAGTCACAACAAAAAGGGAACCCTAAGTAATATAAGAATAAAGTTTTATAGATTTTAAATGACAAACATTTTTAAATTAAATTTGCGAGTGCTTTGAAGTTAACAGTTAACATGATATTCAAATTTTACAGTTATCCAGCCACATTACTGCAACTGCCAAAATACCACAACTGTTCAGTTAGCCGTATTTAAAAAATACCAAAATTAATCGATACTCGATACATTGTTTGTTATTGCACATAAACATAACCATAACCATGGCATCGAAGCATTCAACTTATTTATTTAAATAACCGCTAATTTAATGTTTAAAATGTTAAATTTAAAAATGTTGCCCGGCGTGAAAACGGCGACCGTCCGCCTGAGCCGCCAGTACACGTCGAAGGCTAAGCGCAGCGTCTTGTTACAGGACCAGAGTAAAATAAAAAGTATAGCGGAATAAGCACGTTGAGTTTGGCTTTTAAGCAAAATCTCTTTCAGATTATGAACCAAAGACAAGTGATGCCCATACGAATCGCGTCTATGTGTGGGGCTTCCAGGAGACAGGAGCTCTCGGGCTGCAAACAAACGTGAAGAAGGCCAAAGAACGTTACACGGAAATGGTGCATCATCCGACCCGGCTGCAGTTCTCGAATAACAATGAAATAACCGATGTGACCGCCGGCTATGGATTTACGGTGTATGCGGTGAAGCGCTCCGATGGGCAAACCTTGTTTGGAAGCGGACTCAACACCGACTCGCAGCTGGGCTTTCAAGTCAAGGGCGATAAAAAGGATCCCCCCAACCTGGATGTGATCATTTATCCTACTGCAATTCAGCTGCCGCGCGAGCAGGGCGAAACGGATGAGGATATGCAAGTGCGCTGTATGTCTGCCGGACGCGCACACCTCGTTGTGGTCACGCAGAACGGCACCGTGTTCACCATGGGACACAATGCGTACGGCCAGTGTGCGCGCTCCATCATTGAGGACGAGGCCTACACGGGCAGTTCGCTCATCCACCGCATAGCCCAGACGGATATATGCGGCGCGGAGGATGAAATTGTTGCCGTTGAATGTGGACAGGATCACACCATGCTGCTGACAAAGCTGGGACGCGTTTACAGCTGCGGCTGGGGTGCCGATGGCCAGACAGGGCAGGGCAACTACTACAGCGCCGGTCAGCTTACGCTTGTTGGCGGCGACATTGAAAAGGAGCGCATTGTGCGCATTGCCTGTGCCTCGGATTGTGTGCTGGCGCTAAACGAGCAGGGCGAAGTCTTTGGCTGGGGCAATTCGGAATACGGCCAGCTGGATGATTCACCCGATGCAGCGCCACAAATCTGCACGCCCCGAGCACTGCAACTCACCAGGGGCATAGGGAAGGTTAAGGATGTGGCTGCAGGCGGCTCGTTTTGCATGGCTCTGAACGATCAGGGCCTGGTCTACACCTGGGGCTACGGCATCCTGGGCTTCGGTCCGTTTGTGGAGCAAACGTCGAAGCCGCAACACCTGCTGCCACCTCTGTTCGGACGCAACGATTTCAGCAATGCAACCACTGTGGTGTCGATAGGTTGCGGTGTCTTTCACATGGGCGCCATCAATTCCGATGGGGATCTCTTTATGTGGGGCAAGAATCGCTTTGGCCATCTGGGCGTGGGCCACAAAAAGGATCAGTACTTTCCTTTTAAGGCGGCCATCAATGGCAAGGTGCTGAAGGTGGCCTACGGCGTGGATCATACCATTGCTTTATGCCGGCCACATTTATAAATAAAGCCAAAAATATTTAAAGATCACAAATTCGCGTTTTTAATACATTTAAATCGATTAAAGAACATTTAGATTAGGTTTCCTTTTTCTATTTTCTTGATAATGTTTTTGTCATTTGTTTCTTCTCGCAAATGTAAATAGCTTTTCTTTTTTTTTCGATTTTTGTTTTCTATATAAATAATTGTTTAGCACGCGTACGCATTTATAGTTATAGAGTTTAAAGAGTATATAATATAAAATATGAACTTGGAATCGAATGCAGTGTGTATTTATATGTATCAAGTTGGGAATGGGTTTTATTTGGGTTGGTTTCCCCTTTTTATATTTAAATATACAATAGAAAGTTGCAGCAATCCTAAATCTCTACTCTTATCAAACCCAATTCGCACTCGTATTTTTTAGTATTTGTCACAATTTCGTCAATCGCATTTAATTGCTTTCTAGGTACATTTCTTAACAGGGTTTCTTCTCTATATATATATATATAGATATATATATATTTATATGTATATGATTCGCTATTCTTAACTGAGCTCAACGAGCGGCAGTGCAGGAAGCGCACAGCTCGTCGAGCCGCTTGGCCAATACAATACGATCTGTTTCCGGTTGATAAGCATGGTTACATCGTACATAGAGAGCCGGGCGTGTGTCTTAATTTCTAGCCCGACACGAACACGACATGCTCGTGTTTTAAAACAAAATTGCGCACGACAACAATTTACATATATGGAATAAATATCTTTAATTATAAATTTGGCTTATATTGCTATTTAAAATTATGTAAACTCAATCGAAAGGAAGGAAGAAAATATTTTGAAGTTTTAGAAAAATTCGAATTAAAATTAAGAAATATTTTTTTTCATACATAACATTGTTTTTTTTTTTAATGTGTGAATGATTAAAATAATATATATATTAATGTAATTTAGCAAAAGTATTTAGTAAATTGAATTAACTTGAAAGCAATCAAGTCTTGAATAAAAATATAAAAATATGCACAAATAAAAATAAGACAAGAATAAATATTCTATAAAAAATGTAGTTCAATTTCAGGAATATACAGAAAGTCGCGCCCTCAACATCAATGATCGAGCCAGTTGCTCGCGTGTTTGATAAATTGATATTCGTGTCGTGCTTTAAAATGTTAGACACGCGCCCATCTCTAAGTAGAACTAAAGACTACACAAGTTGAGGCTTTCGCCTATAGATCATCGTTTTACACACAAACTTACGGAAATCAATACTAATTTGTCTTTGTTTGGGTTTTTGTTGTTGTTTTAGTTTTGTTGTTTTTGTTTTTTTTTTTCGTTTAGTTTTGTTTTTGCTCTTCATATGTTAATAATTTAAAACATTTGCGGCGCACGACCAACTGTAGCTCAAGCCACCTGCTGCTGGCGGGCCTCGTTCGCCTCGTAGGCCTCCACCTCGGCTATGTTGGACAGGTCGTATTCGATTACGCCCTTACCCATGAACTCTGCATACTTGCCGGCATCTGGAAGAGGTTCGGCTGATCGCTTGGCAACTGCAAAGGACAAACAATCGTTAAAAAATGAGTTATAGTGCTTTAGTCGGACGTGTCCGATTGTGGAGATACCCTGTACCCAAGCGTAAAAAAAATTAACTCTGCCTTATACTATAATAATTCTTAAATAACTTCTTTTTTTTTTGTTCAACATTCTAAGATTTGCGGGTATATAGTATATACCCCTATATAAATACTTGTTTATAAGGTTCCTAGGAAATCGCTTCCTTAATTGTTATCCGTAGATTAATTGGAAATCAATATTCAGCGATTTTGTAAGATGTAAAAGCTGGGATTAAATCGAGTTGGATTGCGATATATATTACTTAGAGGAAACGAGAACTATTATCTGAGAATTTAATACAGAACCTTGGACCTGGATCGAATCGATAATTTTTGCTGATCAAGAATAAAAACCAGTTGACAATATCTTTGCTACTATAGAATTTGAATGGGAACAGGCTAGAAGTACTTTCACTTACCGCCAGACACATATTTCTCCATCATGTAGACCTTCATGTCGTAGCACTCGTTGGCTATGCGCTCCGAGATCATCGACAGATCGGTGATGCGGGGTGTTATGATGCGCATATTGCGACGGACACGCTCCGTGTCGATGTTATAGTAGCCGGAGCCCATTTTCTGCATCAGATCAACGAAACTGCTGGGCGGCAGGGTGGTGTCGCGGTCCAGCGGCATGATGAAGCAGCGGTTGGTGATGGTATCGATGATGGCCGACTGGTTCTCCTTGAAGTCGTGCATGAAACGCCCGTGACGACCCTCCTTAAAGTCGGGCACATCGATCTTGGCATAGCCATCCTCATCGCTGCTATCCAGCTCGATCTCCTCGCGGAAGTAGTTATCGTTGACCTCGCCCAACTGGCTGCCCGCACTGTTACCGGAGAGTTGGGGCAACAGGGAGCGCCAGTTTAGGGTGAAGGCGTCATCGTTGCGCGCATAGAAACGTGGCATCTCCATTGAGTCCTCCGCATAGGGTATATCGCAGAGGGCATGGTAGCGCATGCTCGAATGATTCGGTGTATATAGCCGGTAAAGTGTCCAGCCCCCCAGGACGCCCATCAGCATTACGATAATGGCGATCAGGAACAAGAGAAACGATTTCAGACAGTTATATTGCGGCCGATTGAAGACCATCGATTCTGTGTCCGCATCGCTGTACGCTATTTTAGGCTGCGATTAGAAAATCAACAATAAATTTATTTTATTTATGCACAATAAATACTAGACAGTGGTGGCCATATAATGAGGAACACTTTAATTTAATATATCTTTCAAGTAAAACTTATTATTTTGTATGTTATCTATATTGCGTCTGTTGAAAATACTTCCAAAAATATAACTATTAACAAAGTGTTGCTAATTACATGGCCAGGACTGTAAATGAATTTCTAATGACTAATAACGGTCCGTTTCTGCACGTTCTCAAGTAAAGTTCGTTTCTTATCACGTTCTTTATCGTTTTCGCTTATTGGATCCAACGGATTTTCAAAAGGGAACACTGCATACAATCAGTTCCAATTAAACAGAAATTACAGCAACTTGCATGCAGAATGTTACTAATACATGAATATGTAATGCATCTGCATATACATATGTATATATAAACATGGCTGTGGTCTAGTGTTGTGAGTTTAGCTATTTTGAAGCCGGGACATTTTTAAAGACCTTTTTTTTAGCTTAAAACCTCACGAATTTCATATTTGAATATGCATAAGGGAAATCAATTTGAATATAAACTTCCTTGTGCTTGTTTATTTATCATGGGTTTTTAACCAGGTTCTTTTTCCTTATTTAAATATTATTAAACGGTACTTGGGGGATACTAAACTCAGTTTTGTTACTCTGTTTAGCTTTTTACTGCAACTTTTTAGCTGTTTACGCATTCTTCTATTCTGGCAACACTGCTGAGCTCTCCGCCATATGCGCTTTCTTGCGTGTGTGAGTGTGAGTGTGTGTGTGTGTGGATTTATCGCTGATGAGCAAAGGGCACAAATTGACTTCCATGCATGAAAAGCGGCGCCATTGGAGAAAGAAAAAAACAAAACGCAAATGCAAATGACAAAAGCTTTGCAGCAGAATGCATATTTGCATTTACATATGTACATGTACATACCAACACACATGCATATAAAACTTGCAATGGAAGCATTTACAAAGAACCAGAGCAAAAAACAACATGCATACATTTAGTCACCAAATGAAACGAAGACTAGGAAAATGGGAGAGGGTGGAGGCAGTCAGAACTGAAGTCGTGCTGCTGGCTGGCAATGCCAACGCTGCGCGACCTCAAAAGGAGCGAAGTAAGGAGTGCAAGGACACACATGGGAATTCCAACATGGAAAAATCGATAGATATGCATGCTGCTGAGAGCACACACACACACACACACATAAACGTATACATACTTATGCATGTACATAGAAAATCTCACAGCAGCAGACGCCCGCCCACACAAACACACGCGAAGGCAAACGAAAACGAAACTTGTAGCGGTGCTGCACGAAGGACACACTGGATATGTAAGGGCTGACAAGGACACGAACGATTGCGCAAAATATATATGTATGTATGTGCTTTCTAATTGCACATAACTTACACTGATTAGTGAGCCATGATGCATGATAGCCTCGTCATTTAGATGCAATGGCAACGGCACCTTCTCCAGATCCTTCTTTTCACCTGTTAATTTAGCCAAAATCGTCATAATTCCTTGTTTAACTTTATGTTCGGTGTGTTCTAGATTATTGAGCAATTTCGTTTGAAATTTTGTTGAATAGTTAACCGAAAAAAACCCAGACGTTTGCTGCCAACTACACCTGTAATGTGTTTACTCTTCAATTATTTTTTTCACTTTGTTTTTGTATTGCGCAGCAAACTGCGTAGCCAAGTAGCCGATATATCGTTCTTACTTGCTTGCAGTTACTTGCATTAGCATTATCGATATGTTGCTATCGAGTAACGAAGACAGCCGCTATATTTGCTCTTAATAATGAGTAATTTATATACCTACGCAATTACAGTATCTAAATGCTTTTAAACAATTCCAACAGTCTTTTAACTAAGTAATTGGTGCATTTGTAAGTTGCGCACTACAAGTTGTTGCGTTCCAGTGGGAACAAGTGTTTCTCCAAATATCGATATCTTACCGTTATTAATCGCTGGACTGTAGGACAGTCGGCATATTGGTTATCGCTGTACAGTATGACAGTCGATATGTTTGATGGTCTGACGTGTTGCGATTGCAATTGTTTTTCTCTTTTATTATTATTGTATTCTAGCTGAACTTGTAAGGCATTTATTTATTTAATATATTCAAGTAGCTAGACTTTTTAAAAAATGCAAGAATGAACACAATCGAAAACAGTTCGTTATATTAATGTGCACCAGTGAGAACAGCTTATTTATGGGCTCGCATGTTATCGCTGGAATGTATAACAGTTGAGATGCTTGATGGTCTGACGGAAGATTTAATCTGTACTACTAACTGAATTCTTAGATGTACAATGGGTGTTCAGGGCTTAACATTATTTATGACTATGTTGATTCGATAGGAAGGCCAGATGACCTTTGGGGCATTTATTGGCATAGTGACCTTTGTGCCCACATTTGTAGCATGTGATCTCCTCCAGCGGCGTAGGCACTTTTATAAACGCCGGCGGCGGATGATTGGGTACACCGTCTTCGTTGTTCTCCCCGCTGTGGTCCATGGCGTTAATGTTATTGCGATGCTCCAGGCTGCCCACATACTGTTTACACGAGTTCGCCTTGTGTCCGAGCTCGCCGCAATAGTGACAGGTGGGCAGTTTCTTGTGCAGTTGATCCTTGCTGAGATCGGCGAGGGGCGGCAGCTCGAACCGCGGATGCATGTGCTTGCAGTTGGGTCCATCCGGACAGAAGCCGGCCAGGTAGTTCATGCAGAGCACACGCCGCAGATGCTGATGCCGGCAGTGCGGCCCGTGGCGGCAGAAGCCGCGCTTATACCATGGACAATCTTTCACCTTGCTCTGTGGATCGATGTGCAGGAACGGGCACTCCTTGTTGTGGCAGGCATTGAAACGTGAATAGAAATAGCATTCCGGCATCTTGGTCATGTCGTACTCGTGCAGAAACTCGCACTGGTCGCCCTTCTTGCAGAGGCCGCGCAGCCAGTGCTTGCAGACGATGGTCCGATCACCTCGTATGTGCCGGAACGGGCACGCGCTGCCCTTGTCGCACTCCTGGCCATTTTTTGTGATAAAATTGCAGACTGCGGCAATGGACTTGTCCATGCCATAGAACGGCAGCGGTATGGCGCCCACCTGTTCAATCAGGTCGCGCTCCGCCTTGAATTGCAGACTGTTCACGTTCGCCAAAAGTATATCCATGTCGATGCGGTACTTTGCTCATAAAAAAACTAAAAAAAAAAGAGCGCGTTGTTTTGGGATTTGTTGTTCTTTTTTCTTTTTGGCATAACACGCCAAAGTATCGATATTATCATTGCAATCAGCCACTGCTTATCGATACTTGGATAAGAAAGCAAGTATGCAGTGCCTGCAAGTTATAAAACTTGTAACTGGTGTCTTACTAGCCAGATTGATTTGCTAGTTTTATTAATTATAATAAAAAATAATAATAAAATCCAACAAAAATGATTAACTTACTTTTTAACCAAGAAAAAAGATTTACAACAGCGCAATATTTACACCTTACTTTTCGTATGCATATTAAGTGCATAGATGCAATAATAAATTTGAATTAAGTAAAAGTTATTTGCCAGTTAATCGAGTAATTTAAGGGGTTTTTTATATAGCGATAAGCTGATATATATTTGCTAATCGAATTAAAGGTTGTTTTTTTTTTTTTAAATTGCAAGCCGTTAATGTGATCATTTGAAAATCGTACGCAACTTAATAAACATGAATGTTAAAATTAGCTGGCTAATTATTGTTTGGTACTTTTTAATAGATGATGGGAAATTTTTTGCGCAACTGCATACCAGACATTGCCATTTGTTTACGCGCTGGCGCTGGCAATCAAAAATGTAGCTTCGGTCTGAAAGGTTAATAACTGTTCGCAGCAACAACAATTGGGCGCGTGCGGATAATGCGGAGTCGCCCATCGCCCACTGAGAAAAGAAACCAACAAAAATTGTTGTAGAGTTTAAAGCGCCGCCATGCTGCCCACCTACGAGCGCTTGAACGACCCCAAAAAGGCGTTCTTTCGCCTAACATTTGCCCGGTTATCGATAATTGCCCTCAGCCTGCCATTGGGCGCATTTTGTTTCTGTGTGGTCTGGTCGCTATTTTATGACTTTGTGCGCTCCACATTTACGCACTGCGACGTGGCCAACTATTTGCCCTCGGTATCGGCGGCAATTGGTAACTATGAGCCACAGAAGACGGTCTGGCGCCTGGCCGTAATCCTGCATCTGCCGCTGCGTCTGACGGTGGCGTACACGTACTTGGAATACTATAGGGAGCACATTAAGCGCAATCGTCGCATGTTCGGCATTCTGGCCTGCACGCTGAACATTATCGAGGACATTGCTCTGTTCTGCCTGTCGCTGTGGACCTCGGCGGACAACTATGAGATCCATCGGAATTCGTTTGTGGTCTTCATAGCGAGCAGCGAGTGCTATATGCTGATCTCGTATCTGTTGAATCGGGGCGCACGCAAATCCGTGCTGTTGCCGCACGAGGAGAAGTCGCTGCGCTACAAGCGCAATCTCTTTCTGGTCAATGTGCTGGCCTTCGGCCTGGCCGGCTACTGCTTCATGCGGCACAATGCGCGCTGCGAGGCCGGCGGTAAGCAAAACAACTCCAACTCCAAACGAATCATCCATTTATCCAATCTTTACCCTCCACAGTTTACACATTTTTTGCGCTCTTCGAGTATATTGTGGTGCTAACCAATATGGGCTTCCATATGACAGCTTATTGGGACTTTTATGCCTTCAGCATTGTCTGCGATGCCCGGAACGGTCTGCATATAACGCGTTCTTAGCCTGCCAACGAATGCTCCACGTCCAGCGACCGTATTTCCGGCGTATTGTGTATATACATATGCGGTATTAGCTTAAGCTCAAAGTTTACTTAATTTTATTTAAGAAATCAACTGAATCACATTGTCATTCAGAAATCGATTTAGCTTTTAATTCAATAAGAAAAAAACGAAGAAAACTGTCAACTTGTAAATGTCTTAAATATGGAGAAACTGCTGCCCATCTCTGACAAAGATCTGACGAAGTCGTCTGTCCGGCAATTGAGGATCTCGATGTCCAATCTTTTGCTGGTTGGCTGCGCGCTGGCGCCCTTTACCATGGTCTATACTATACTGATGACATTGATATTCGACTATGCGGGCTCCACCTATACGCACTGCCAGGTGATGAACATTCTGCCGTCCATGTCGACGGTGATCCGACAACAACAACCCTTGTGGATATTCATCATATGGGCGCAGCTGCCGGCTCGCCTGCTAGCGGCTTGGCTCTACTGGCGCTATCGGAGACGCGGGCTGCCATTGCGGGCACGCATACTGAAATACCTGTCGCTGTTGCTTCTGGTTTATAACAGCGTCAGCTCCATTTCAGCGGTGCAATATGGTCATCTTTCGGGCACATTTCACAATGCGACAGCACTTTCCAGTTGGATAACGGGCCTTGGCTATATAGGCCTCTCCCACATGAGCCAGAAATTCGGTGCATATGAGCCAATGGGTCCGCACGAGAGGCTCTCCAATCGCATCAAGCGCAAGATGCTATTCACGAACTGCACCGCCATGGTGGTCATGTGGCCATTTTATGTGCTGCACGTCAACTTTTGTCTGACAATGGGTAAGCTTTGGATGAAGCCTTTTAATTATTCGACTAAATATATGTATATATTATTGATCAATATCATTGGAAGACTCGATCTAGACGTGTCCGAGTGTCTGTTAAAATATATCTTTTAAATTATACGCTAGGAAAGTGAAGATATAGCCCTAAAGTCCACAAATCTTTGTACATCAGTATCCCAGATACGCTGGTTCTTATAAGAAAATGGTTTCTTATCAGAATGTGAGGATATGGACCTGATTTCCGCAAATATTTGAACAGCAGTATCCCAGATACTTCGATTCTTATAAGAAAGTGGGATCTAATTGGATCTCGGGGTTATCTTCAAAATATTGTCCGTCTTCCCTTGACTTCCTTCTCACTGTGTGCTATTATTAGTAATAAATATTTATTAATAAAATATGCATTTATTATATTATATTTTTTCTACTTACAGCCTATTCCGTTTTTTCGTTTTGTGAATACATATTGACCTTGTCTATAGCGTGCCATATATGGACATCATATCTGGATTTCTATGATGTCTATCTGTGCCTCAATTTACATTTTGGTTGCTTTTTGGCAGACGCATAATTATGGAATATAAACTCTTTTTAAGACAATACTAAATATATATGAATACAGATTTGTGGCTGCTACGCTTCATAGATGCGCACCAGATCCTCAATGGTAATGGGATAGCTGGTCATGGGGCATGTGCCCTGTTCCTTCAGATGCGTCACAATGCATTTCCAGCAATAGACATAGCCGGATACGGCGCACGCTGTTGGCGTTTGCAGCGGCAGCAGGCAAACGGGGCATTCTCCGCACTTTGGCAATATTTCTCTCAGCTCCTGGGGCAGTTCACGTTGCGGCATGGCATCAGGATTTTGCAGTGTGCCGCCCAGCTTGCGGCGCTGATCGTTCGAGTACCACCACTGTATGAACTGCAGGAAAAAGGCCAGCACTTCGAGCATCTTTAGGAACAAATACGTCCATTTGTCCTCCTTGGGCGGCTCGCTGGGATAGCGCAGCGTCAGGCGAAGCGCACGAAACACGGGCGAGTGGCTGGACGCATATTTGATTAGGTACAGGAATGTGTGCACCGCCTTCGAGGCGTTATAGACATGAAACAGATTAATTAGCTGCGACTCCCAGGCATAGGTGTCCTCATGCTGTGCACTACGCGCTCGCAGCTTGCGCTCGACATAGGGCAGCAGAGTCAACAGCGTCGCGGAGCTGAACTGTTGCCGGCGGGTGAGCAGCTCTCCGGTTGTGCTGGCCGTGCGCTGCAGTCCGTAGAAGCTTTCGCCGAAGGAGGAGGCACGTTTGCGCAAATACAAATACTGTAGAATCCATGTAACGAGCGGCGATAGCTCCTCGCGTACGCGTATGTTGCCCCAAAGCTTAAAGTCCAAACGCAGGCCAAAGTAATCGAAAACTTTGCTCAGTGCCGGATAGATAAGATTGTCCAGCGTCTCAGCTGCTGATATTTCAAAGATCGACGGCACATTCTGCAGATTCTGACGCACATTGGCTGCCTCCGCCATGGCGCTGACAGTGGGTCAAATAATATCTGGTGCCTTTGCTAATTTTATGATAAGAATTAAGCGGACAGCCGCAACAATTGTCCGAGTACTTTTATTAATGTATCGTTGGCTCGATCAAAGTATCGATTGCCTATCGACCGACCGCCACAAGGCATCGGCCGCATTAATCAGCTGTTTGCCAAATTTGTTTATAAAATATCGCCTAAAACGTCGCGCAGTTGCAAAGGTGAAATAAATAGCGCAAATAATATAAGAAAACAGTATGAAAACATCAGGCGGTGGCTCGGCGGAGGAGCCGGCCAAATCGTCGCTTAGCAAAATCAGCAAAAAGTCTACAAAGTCACGTTCCAAGAATACCAAATTGGAGCCTGGTAGCAAAAATGCTGTCTCAGCCACAAATGTTGGCGTGCCCATGGGCAGCTTGCCAGCCACGCCCACGCATGTTAATATGGCCACAACGCCCACAACGCCAACGACCAGTTTAAGTAATTATAATCTCTTTGATGCTTCCTTTGCTGTGGCTGGACATGGGCAAGGCGTGGGTGTGGCTGCGGAAATGGCAAACAATCCCGGCAAAGTGGTAGGAGGAGGTAAAGGAAACTTGGAGATTGTCAAGTTTTCAGCATTTTTTGTCGCATTGCAGGGTCATCACAAAAGCTATGCCGGCTTTGATCCGCGCAGCATAAAAATCTTCTGGGAGCAACATGACCAGACGGATGTGGAGCTCTCGCAGGATGTTTGCGCGCGCCTCGCGGAAGATGCATCCTACAAAGTCTGGGAGCTGATTAATGTATGTCCGCCGATTTGCTGTTTATAAAAATTGCTTTATTTTCATATAATTTCACAGAATGTAAAGATTTACTCGCGTCACTCGGGCGGCGTGGTCACCTACGATCTGGTCAATGAGGTGCTCAAGGATGCGGATGTGCCGCCCATGCTGGGCGCCATTGACAGCGATTGGGATTGCATTGATTACGATGGCAGCTACTTCTTTCACTCGGACAAGATATTTGAGCTACGCGATGAGTTTCAAAAGAACATTACGCTCTCGCTGCCAAATGATGCGGATTTTCATTGCATTTGCCCGGTGGAGGACAAGAATACCGAACAGTTGAAACAGTTTGTGCAGAGCCTGGTGACTGGTAAGTGTTTGGATCATCTGTTGCTTCTAAGTGTTCATCGCAAATACTTCTCTCTTTTAGCGGCAATCTTTGGCGACTCGCAGGCACGCAGCGTGGCCGTTACGCAGGCGTTTCAAACGCCGCTAATGGGCGCCTGCTATCGCGTAATAGTCAGCAAATTGCTGCAGTTGCTCGCGTTCAAGCAGCACGATAAGGTGAGCCAACGCTGCTGGCGCCTGTTGCGCGCCTGCAATTACAATACGCAGGCGAATCACATCAATTGCCGTCCGGAGTATTTTCATCTGGCCGAGGTGCTCATCAGCCAGCTGATGGCGCCGTATGAGACCATCAAGGTGGCCGATGGCAGACCGCAATCACAGCAAGCAGCATCGGTGCCAATGGAGCTAGACAAAGTGCTTAAGCTTGAGCCGGGCCTGGGCAGCGAAGCGCAGGCTGAACAGTATCCCAGTCAAGGCATGGACCTAGACACGCAGCAGCCGCAGCAACAGCAGCCACAGGAGCAGCAGCTGCAACAGCAGCCGCAACAGTCACAGCCAACGGTGCCAGAGATTACCATCACCAGCGACACCTCAGATGGGCAGACCATTTACAAACTGCAGCTGGACGATGACAGCAGCGAAGCCGCCGAGCAACAGCAGCAGCAGCAGCAGCAGGAGCCGCAGCAGCTCTCCAGCTACTTTGCCAGCCCCGTGGGCAACAGCTACGTGGATGAGCTCTGCGAAACAATTGGCCAAATGGCGGCACAAAGTGGATATCTGCATGCGGAGTGTTTATTTTTGATTAATCGACGCTTGAACAGATTTTTTGAGGGACGCGACGTGTGCAATGAGCGGGGTAAGACGATTGTCTTTATAAAAACAACTTTTTGTATTAATTCATTCAATATATATATATATATTCCTTCATATTCCTTGTCCTTCTGCAGATTTCAAGTACATCAGTCGTGCCATACGCGGGCTCATCGCGCTGGGTGAATACGCCTTTCGGGAGTTTATACCCTACATATACAAGCTGAATGTTAACGATGTTCCCGACAGTCTCTGGCGGGATTTGGCGCCAGCTGCTGTATACCTGGGCGGGCGCGATGATATACATTTGTACGAGTGGCTGGAATACGGCTGCGGAGCCGGCAGCCTGCAGCCCTTTCTAGTACACTATGCGAGTGAGTAGGCGCCAAAACACCTGGCTTATTGATAACTAATTCGAATGTGCTTGCAGATGCATATAAGAAAATGATCTCCAAACGTTATATACATGCCAGACAGCCGGCCTTCAGATTCGTGGCACAGCCAGGCGTGCGTCGCCTGGAATGGAGCACGCTGGCGGCAGCCATGTGCCATGGCGATGATCCCAGCAAGGCGCTCAAACCGAAGCCCACGCTGTGCGAGGCCTTTCCCGAGCTGGTACAGCCCAATTTGCGGCTCAATTGCACCGGCACCATACGCTTCAAATTCGCCGGCTGTCGGCCTGTGCTGCTCAAGCCAAAGGGTGTGGCAGCAATGCACTTCATGGACTCGCCCTCAACGAATGGCGGCAGCGACATTATCCACTCCGATATACTCATTGCCAAGCGCAAGATCTTCAGGCCGCCAAGCAATGGGCGGCGCCCGGTGGCCAACAGTGGCTATCACTATTTGCGCATCTGAAGCAGGTAATAAAATTAAAATAAATGAAGAAAAAACTTAACTACCCAACGAAGGTTTTAAACAAATTGAGACCGATTCGTTTCTAAAGGAACTATATGATATAGAAGTCTGATTTTTGGTTGGAGCTGCTTGGCTTCTGACCAGGAAAATATATGGATCATGGGAAACGTGTTCTATGTGACAAAACTTTATTTAACAAATGTATACTAGAAGGCCTCCTCCTGCGGCAACGGCACGCCCGCCTCCTTCATGTCAGCCATAATGCGCTTGTTGATGATATTCTTAATGTTCGCATTGACATTGGGCAGCAGGCCGCCCGTGCGTGCCGCATGCTCGATGCGCTGCACCACATCAATCTCGCGACGGGATGAAATGAAATTCGTGACCAGCGTCTTTTCCGAACTGCCCACGCGTCCAATGCGACCGCAGCGATGTATATAGTCGGAGATGTGAAGCGGGAAATCAAAATTGAGCACATGACGTGCGCGCGTTGTGTCCAGGCCGCGACTGCCCACATCTGTGGTGGACAGGACATCGCACTGGCCACGCTGGAACTCCTCGAAGCGGCCCAAGCGTATCTTCATTAACATATCGCCATTTAGATTGAGACAATTGATGCCGCTGTTGTTTAGAAAAATGGAGACATAGTCGCTGGTCGCTGACTTGTTGCTGAAGACAATCAGGGGCCGAAGTTTGGCCAAATCCTGCTTGACCAGGTTCAACAGGTTGGCCGGACGATCCGCCTTGGCCATGCGCAGAAACTTTTGCGTCACATGCGCCATCAGATGATGCAAATGTGGACTGACTACCTCGTGAATAGTTTCCACATCGATGACGCGCTGCAGGATCTCGCGTGTATTGGTGGGCATCGTGGCCGAGGCGAGCAGCAGCTGGGTGCCCACAATGCTCGCATCCTGCACGTGATTTCTGTGGAACTAGGGAGCATAAATTTAGGCAGCTGCTTTTGGGTTTGGAATATGCAGACTTACGGGAAATCTTCGCATGAAGTAGGTGAGCTTTTCCGTGAACGAATCATCCAGCAGCGTGTCTGCCTCGTCCAGCACCACATGACGCACTTGCTCCATGTGATAGATGCCAGTTGTTACCAGCTTGCTGACGGCGCCCAAAGTCGCCACCAATATGTCCACCTCCTCGAATTGTGGATTCAGCATTAACTGCTTGGTATTGCCGCCGAGAAGTGCCTTCACCTTTAGCTCCGTGTTCGCGCACAGCTTTTGGGCAACCTGTGCGATTTGTGTGGCCAGCTCCCGTCCGGGCGTGAGTATCAGTACGCTGGGCGTATTGAAGCGTCGCTCGCCGGGCTCTGGGGATTGGTCCTTAAGCCTTCTATTTAGCACGGGCAACAGGTAGGATAGAGTCTTGCCGCAGCCCGTTTCGGCGGCAATTAGTGTGTGAAAGCTGCCATCCACAATGGGCATGGCTTGGGCCTGAATGCCCGTCAGCTGCTTGATGCCCAGCTCCTGCTGCAGGTTCTCTAGCAGCTGCGGATGCATCTGAATTTCCGATGTGGCCAGGAAGTCACTCAAACTCTTCATCTCCGCCTTCAGCTGCGCGCTTGTGATGCTGGCATTAAGAGTAAAGTGATCGCCCTTGGATTTATTGTGCAGCCAACCCTTGGAGCACAGTGGCAGGGTGCCAAACTTGGCGTCCGCTCGCTCATGCTGCAGCAGATTGAATTGTGTGCGTCGGCAGCTAATAAGCGGCTTACTGTGGCTCTGTTCGGATTCTTTTGTCTTGATTTGTGCGGCAGCCTTGGCGTATTGCCGGCGCAAGAATGTCCGCGAAAGATTTTGCAACATTTCGCCGCCAAACACTTTTTTTTCGTTTGCCGCTGCACGCCGCAGTCAGCTGTTTTTGTTTTGCTGGGGCTCATGTAACGGAATTGGAGTGTTGGAAAAGGCCACAGCTGCAGTGCTGGCTGTCAGCGTATATCGATAACAAAAAGAACCGTTGTACGCGCCAATTAACAAATGTCGCGAGTGTAAAGTTTTATTTTTGAGCTGTGCGTGAAAAATAAATATGTTTAAGTAAAGTGTGTGTGTGTATTCGTTTAATGTGTATTTAAGTGCTTATATAATAACAATATGTAATCAAAACGAATGTGCAGTTCTGCGATATACACGCAGCATGAGCAGAGCAGCCGGCACAAGCCTAGATCAGAACATATGGTGCATGCGGTAAGTCAGAATTGAATACATATACATACATACATACATATATATAAGTGCAAGCAATTCGGCCAAGTATTAAAGTATGTATGTACATACATACATATATGTGCATAAATATGTCTATGCAATAAAAGAATGAATATGTACCCATGAACATAAACGTGCATTGCACATTTGCAGGCACATGCACGCACCTGCGTTCAGAGACCCAGTCGGACCTGCTTGTCTGCAAAAGCTACTGCTTATTCTATTTTCTATTTTCACCTGTTGTAGTATAAATATGCACTTTTGGTACTTACCAAGTAGTTTTTGTTGGTTTTTTTTTCGTGAAAAATATTAAATTACTGAATCTCATTTTATATAAGAAAAATGTGCGTAGCCTAGGAAAGGATTTTAAAATATGAATTTTAAATGGTCAAGTTAGGGGCTTTAACATTTTAAGCTTTAAATTTATATAGATTAGAAAGCCTTGGGACAGGGGACAAGTGATATTTAGTACACAAGACTATTATCAAAACAGAAGGGAGGGAAGAAAATATGTTTTAATTAAAGCATATATATGTATGAATAGAAAAGGAGGGGATAGTTTCTAAAAAGCTTTAATGTTCGACTGAGTATTCGATTTACTGGAACCGAAATACTATAAAAAACTCTTGAAATTTTTTTGGCAGAAAGTTTTTCAGCGCAGCAGCTGATGGCTTTCGATATAGGGGAAAAAAATAAACGCATTTTTCCATGCAGATTTATCTGTTGCCCCGGAAAATACATCGGTTTTTGGGAAACACATTAACACAGATAAACTAAGTTACTGCGATATTATCTGCTTTTGTCTGTAGGTATATCATGTACAAAAAAAAAAACGCTTCTCTTTGCAATTTCGAATTTACTAACGTTAATAACAAAGTTAAAACTTGACGTAAAATTTTTGTGAAATTGCAGCGACAAAACGGCCCATTAAAGTGCATGAAATCTGCCCGCATTTTGGCAGCAAGAGCAAAAGTTTCCAAAAGGAATTCACTTTTATGCGTGTGTGTTGGATTATTTTTCTTATTGTTAATTTTGACAACGTTGTGGGTGTATGATGGGCGTGTATGATACGCCCACATTTTAATATGTTTTAAGTAATTTGTGCACATTTTCGCATTTTTATCGCGGCCACAAAACTTTGTCCTTTTGAATTTGACAATGCCACCAACTGCAAACTGATGATGGCCTCTGAACCCCCGACCTTCTGACCTCCTGCCCTCCTGCCCACCCTCTGTCTTTGGTTGCTTGCCCTTTGTCCCACTGTCTGTCGCTTTGTGCTCAATGTCAGTGCTTGTTGGCGAGCGTGTAATGATGACTTTATGACTTTATTTACGTGCAATAAAAGCAACAATTCAGCTCGGGGAACATTTGAAGACACGCGCACATACATAAATACACTCAGAGAAATAGGACATCATAAACGAGATAGAATTTATACGATTTTCTTTCCGTTCTTGAATCTTCCAAAACTAAAATATTATAAGGCAGGTGATTTCGAAATCTGGCACCGATTTTGTCAGCATTTTTACTTCATTTGATTAATTTTTTTTTTATGATTTCTCTGAGTGTACATAAGAAGCACACATACAAGTTCCGGGAATACAATTGGTGGAATGCGATGTGGAGGTTTCTCGGCCTCAATATAAAAGCGATTTTCAACTTAATTTATTCCATTTGCTTCCTTTTCATTTGGGCTGAATTTTAATTCTGCTCTTTTAGTTTTGGGCTTAAATATGTTAAATACCAGCTGCGCATGGACTCGCTACCTTTTTGATGTCACATATTCCCAACCAACCCTCCCCAACGAGTGTGTGTATGTGTGTGTGTGTGTGTGTTTGGGACGCGTGCTGTGCTGTTGCCATGTGTCTTTCTCAAGTAACTGACAAAAAATTTGCAATTCCAATGAAAAAGTGTTAAACAAGTCCTGCACAACACATGTGTAAGAATTTTTGCATGCACTAACACACTGAGACAAAAAAGGGTGCTTTTTTAAGTCACTTTATTTAATATATATAAAAACAAAAGGATTGAAAGAGAAAGAGAGAGAAGTCAATGGAAGCATGAGAGGAAGGGCGCACGAGAGCCAGAGACAGTGGGAGATAGCGAGAGAGACAGTGGGAGATAGTGAGAGAGACAGTAGGATATAGAGAGAAAGGAGAAAAAGAGAAAGGGGAACAGAGAGAAAAAGAGAGAAAGAGAAAGAGAGGGAGAGAGAAAGAAAAAGAGAGAAAAAGAGAGAGGGGTAGAGAGACAGAAAAAGAGAGAGAGAGAGACAGAGACAGAAAGAGAGAAAGAGAAGAAAAGAGAGAGAGAGAGAAAGAGATAGAGAGAGAGAAAGAGATAGAGAGAGAGAAAGAGATAGAGAGAGAGAAAGAGATAGAGAGAGAAAGAGATAGAGACAGAGATAGAGAGAGAGAGAGAGAGAGACAGAGATAGAGAGAGATAGGGTGATAGAGAGGGAATAGCAGGGAGTTAGAAAGAGAGAGAGGGCGAGAGGACGATTGTAAATTTAATTTAATAAACAGAAATATTTTCTATTAGATTGAAAACAAAAATTTTTAACTTGAATTTATGAGAATCGCATAGTAGGGAAGCATTTCCACATACGAAATTTCTAATGAGCATTTTACACACTTACATTCAAACATACCTACAAGTTAAGAGTTAACTGCATCTTGCCTGTTACATAGATTACATACATGATAAAAATGACATAAATTAGATAAATTGTCGTTTTAACTGTTTTATTTGGCTAAGTGTACTAATACGCCTGACGCCATATATTTTTATAATGTTTTTATAATCAACCTAATGCAATAATAATAGCGAAACGCAGTGCAACAAGTTCGAAGTATGTTAATGCCAAAAACTGTCGCTCCCTCTGCCGCAAAATGAGGCTCTAAAATATCACGCATACGCCACACACACACACACACAGAAACACATAGCCGCCAAAATTGGCTGTGGCCACATTAGGACCGCAGGCCTTAGTTCGCCAGCCAATCTAATAAATAAATCACATCTGGCCGGGCGTGAACGGATAATGCGTCTGGTGTCGGCTCTGGTCGCTGGCAGGCATCAAAATGTTGTCAGGACATTTGCATTCGGGGATAAGCGTAAAAGCTGGCTGATAAAAATAGTTGAACAACGGCTGCGATGTGGGCAGAGGGGTTGCTTGTTTAATTGAAATTTGCATAAACTTTTCAAAAGTGTCCTGTGCAGCAGCAGCACCAGCAGCAGCAGCAGCACCAGCAGCAGCAGCAGCAGCAGAGGGGCGGGTTGGGTTGTGGCATTTGCAATGCGTGCTTGCGAAATGCCTAAAATTTAACAGGCGGCATGTGCCACGCCCATGTCAACATTAACGTGCAACACTCGATGACACTGGCAGACACTGAAAAAGCAGACAGTGGCAAAATAGTCCCATGCTCAGGGGGGGGGGGGGGGGCGGGCGTCAACCGCAGTGCATGAAATGCATTTAAAATTTTCTGTTGCCTACTTCTCAGCGTCAAATTACAGCCACGTCGAGTGCTGCTCGCTTTGTGTGTGTGTGTGTGTGTGTGTGTGCTCTACAAGTGTTTAACAACACTTTAAAATGTGCATTAGAGACACAAAGCGCAACTTGTCGTCGTTGTTTATTTAATTATTATATGTTATGCTGATTTAATGTGTGATTCTTATAGCTTTATAGCTTTTTCAAAAACAAACGCATAAATCTGCCTCGACTTCAGCTACTACAACTTTTGTGTGTGTGCTTAAGGCCATGTGTTTACAGAGGCTTAATAACAACAACAACAACAACAGCAACAACAAAAGCTGCCAGGGCTTTAGTTTACAGTCGAAGCTTTTATGGGCTTAACATATTAATTAAACTTGAAGTGGAAAAACATGCAAAAACTTGACCGATTCAACTTTAAATTAGATTTTAATCTGTTGCTCATATTTAAACAGACAATAGGTTTAACCGTATGTGTGTGTGTGTGTGTGTGTGTGTGTGTGTGTGTGTGTGTGATACACAGACACATATGCATAAGTTTGCCCAGCTATATATAGCAAAGGAGCAAAACGTGTGTGCAAAAGTGCTCAGCATTCTGGTTCTGTTAGGGTCACTCGAATTATACCCTGCATGACTTAGTTCTGTGTTCAAGAAAGGGTATAACCATATATATGCTATATTGGTACAATCCTGATCAGCATCGCAAGCCGAAACTGTTCGTCTGTCTGTCTGTGTGAATATTTCGATCTTGGTAACTAAAAAGCTAGAGACTTAAAATTTTAAATATATATATTCTTTTATAATGTAACCAGCAAGACGTTTAAATTATGTATGTCTTCTATTTCTATAATTAAAAAAAAAAATTTATATTATAAAGAATGTTTTTTTTGGCCTAATTCCAACAATATAAGAGCTAGATGCACCAAATTTGCTGTGTGGGTTTCTTATAAAGTATATACAGACTAAAAATATGTTTAACTTTTTGAGCATCTCCACCCATTCCGCCCAAAATTGGGAAAAATTCGTTTCTAAACACAGGACCGCGCGATTTGGTTTGTATGTCATATGTTAGGGCTGCAAATTTCAGAAAGATCGGACTATAAGCACCGAAGTTAATCAAGAAAAACTATCCCATGGAGTAGCACAAATAGAAGAAGAAGAAGCACAGGTGTATATGTATTTATATGCATGTATCTACATATGTATGTACTTATTTATAAAAACATATCTAAAATGCTTGCAACGGCAGCTTGGCTCTGGTTTGAGGGTATCTTTAAGTCGAGCACTCCTGACTGTAGCACTCATGCTAGTTCTACCTGCATGTGTGTTTCTCTGCATCCGTTTCTGTGGCTTACACGTATCTAATTGAAATGGGGGGGAGAGGACTCGAACAGAAGCAGCAGCAACAATTTGAGTGGCATTTCGACAAACTGTTAGCCGACAGGCAACACGATTTGGTAGCCCTGCAGCAAGCGGCGAACACGCA